AATTTATACTTTCTCACATATTTACACTTTTTAGTGCTCATAATTTTTTTCTTCAATTATAAGCATTCATCTAATGTTTGTTTTCATGGACACTCCAAAACTTTTCTTAGATTTTTTTTTTAGATGCTGACCTGATGACTAAACATTCTCTCAGCATTAGCTTCTCTTAAAATGTTTTATTCTATTATTATTTTAATTATTATGTAGAATTCTAGAGGGGCAGTTTTCAATATTTTAGAGATGTTATTTTATTGTATTCTGACTGTCTTTATTTCTGATGATAAATTATCTCTCATTCTTACCACTGTTTAATGTACATGATTTTTCTCTGACTATATTTAAGGTTTTGTCTTTACCTACTTCATTGTACAGAACCATATTTTTAAAATATCTTGGTGTTTCACATTTTATTGATAAGAAATATTTCTTTTTTACAAAAAGCCTAATTTTCTCTTACTGGTACTATTAAAGTAGTAATTATATAAATGAAAAAAAATTCACGCAGTGACTTAAACTGAAGAGTTACAAAACTTTTTAAAAGCTAATGTTAAAGTCATATGGATGAAGAAACTACCCAATTCATGCTCAGATTCTCACTTGTAATTTTTCACTAAAAGCTAAGTATGGTCACACTGTAAATCATGCTGTGCTCCATTTCCATATCACTTCCTAACCTAAACTGTAGAAAAATGAGAGAATACATTTTAAAATCTGGATTTAGTAATATCTTATATATTGCATTTCCAGTGAGTTAGGTATAGAAACTTACATCCTTAAAATATATAAAACATTTTTCTAATTAGATTTTTTTGAGAAAATGTCACCAGACTTAATTAAAATCAAGTTATATAAAGATGAATAAATATTAATGCAATGGGTTTTTTTTCAAGCCAAATCACCATCACTAACTTGAATATAAATGGAATCAGTGCCAATTGTACTCAGGATTTTTGGTTGATTCAGGTAATTTTTTACTTATATCTAAGAACAATATGTTTTATCCATTACTGTTATGTTTGCATCATAAAAAAGCTAAACATATTTTTTATTGTAGTAACTTTCCTCATCATATTATTACAGTTAATATTTCAACTTATAGAAAAATATCTTGAATGTAGTAGATATAATGATAGACTTAGGACATAGGTTTAAGTCTAAATAATCTGTCAAAAACTGTGTGAAGGCTGGGTTTACAATATCATTGAATGCATTTCTCATTTGGAGTTTTATTTTCCTTGAAGACATTGAGTTTTTACAACTATGAATATAGGTTTGACTTAATAATAGGACTATTAATAAGAGGATAATATGTGAATAATGATAATTTACTGAGAATAAATACACTTCCATTTTTTCCAATGTATATCCTAATGTGAAGCATTATTCTCTACTTCTATTTTCATTCTTTCACCTGAGTAAAAAGTAGTCATCCTGATCTCAGTTTAAATATACCTTCTTCTGGAAAATCTTCTGAGGTAATAAGCTTAACAAGCCCCCAAAGATTTCCATGCCCTAATTTTCAGAACCTGTGAATTTACTGTTATATGGCAAAGAAACTTTTGAAGGTGTAATTAAATTTGTGGGCCTTAAAATAGGAAGAATTTCTTTGATTATTGAAGTGGAACCTATCTAATCACTTGAAATCTTAAAAGTAGAAGAGAAAGCAGAAAAGTTCTGTCAGCAGGACAAAAATTCAAATTGCTATTTATGCTTCTGAAATTTATGTGTTATGTGTAAGGACCTAAGAAAATTCTATAAAACCTAAGAGCAGCCTCCAGCTGACAGTGAGCAAAGAAATGGGGATCTTAGTCCTAAAATGACATGAAGCTGAATTCTACTAAAAATATAAATAAGCCAGGAGGCAGATATTTCCACAGAGTCTCCAGTAAAGAACACATTTCGGCTGATTTTTAGTCCAGTGATACCTCTGCAAGATTTCTAACCTACAGAACTGTGGAATTATAAATGAATATTATTTTTAGCCATTAAATTTTTGGTGATTTGTTATTATGGCAATGGAGAATAAATACACGTTCCATAACCTCTATCACATAATTGGAAACTGAGCCTTCCTTCAAATAGTGAGTGAGAAATTTAGTCCTACTGTCAAAAGCCATTTAAGTGAGCCACCACCACCGAACTGGATCCTCCAGCCACCTATTACTTCAACTCAAGCTTTAAGAAGACCTCAGCCACAGCTGACATTGTAACCGCAACTTTATGAGAAACCCTGAGCAAAAATCACCCAGGTAAGTCACTCTCAAATTCCTGATCCACAATAACTGTAGGATAATAAGTACTTAATATTTACATCTGCTATATTTTGAGAAAATTTATTATGCTGCAAAATAAAACTAATACAAATTTTAATACCCCAAATTGGAGTAATGCCATATCAAATAAGCATAAATGTGAGAATAACTTTGGAAATGGGTAGTGATTTCCATGTATTTGCATGATTTTAAGGGTTTCTTTTGAAGTTGATTCCCAATTTTAATCCACTGTGGTCTGAAAGAGTACTTGATATAATTTTGATTTCCTTAAATTTATTGAGACTTGTGTTGTGGCCTATCATATGGTCTGTATCGGAGAATGTTCCATGAGCTGATAAATAGAATGTATGCCCTATTATTGTTGGGTAGAATGTTCTGTAAATATCTGTTAAGTTCATTTGATCTAGGGTGTAGTTGAAGTTCATTGTTTTTTGGTTGAATTTCTATCTTAATGACCTGTCTAGTACTGTCAGGGGAGTACTGCAGTCTGCCACTTGTTATATAAATTTGGGACCTCCAATATTAGTTGCATATATATTTAGAATTGTGATATTTCCCTGTTGAATTAGTTTTTTAAATCATTGTATAATGTCCTTCTTTGTCTTTTTAAACTGCTGTTGCGTTGAAGTTTTTTTTGTCTGATATAAGAATAGCTGCTCCATTTTGCTTTTGGAGTCCATTTGCCTGAAGTATCTTTGGTAGTATAGGGAGGATACAAGTTGGCTCTAGAGTCAGGCAGTGGGCAGGCCATGGAGCTTCTAAGGGATTATGTCCTTTGTCTTTGGCTACCAGGGAGGGTAGAGAAAGACCATGAAAGATCATTAAGTGATTTCTGAGATTTTGGTGCACCCATCAACAAAGCAGTGTACACTGTACCCAATGTGTAGTATTTTATTTCTCACATTGCTCCCACCTTGTCTCCCAAGTCCCCAGAGTCCATTTTATTATTCTTATGCCTTTGTGTCCTCATGGTTTAGCTCTCACTTATGTGTGAGAACATGTAGTATTTGGTTTTCCATTTCTGAGTTACTTGCCTTAGAATAATGATCTCTAAATCCATCTAGGTTGCTGTGAATGACATTATTTCGTTTCTTGTTATAGCTGAGCATTGAGTAGTATTACAATGCGTCAAATCTCATGACACTCACTAACATGAGAACAGCACGGTGAATGAGTCTCATGAGATCTGATGTATTATAGGGAAAACCACTCCCATGATCCAATCACCTTCCATCAGGTTTCTCCCTTGACATGTGGGGATTACAATTTAAGATGATAATTGGGGAAATAATCGGAGCCAAACCATATCACATACTTTTAATATGCCGTTAAATTCTATTTGTGAATATTTTGTTAAGTAGTATTGTATCAATATTCACCAGGGATATTGGTGAGTTGTTTTCTTATAGTGTCTTTGTCTGGATAAGGTAATAGGGTAATACTGGCATCATCAAATAAGGTTTGAAGTGTTTTATTCTCTTTAAAGTTTTGGAAAAAATTTATGATAATTGATATTAATTCCTTTTAAAATATTTGGTAGAATTTACCAGAAATGTAATTTGTTTTTTTGGCTTTTCTTTGTTGGGTGATTTTTAATTAATAACTCAATCTCTTTATTTTTATAAGTCTGTCAACTTTTCTATGTTTTCACAATTTGTTCTTAGTAAATATATATTTTTAGAAATTTCCCATTTCAATGTATACTTGAGAAAAATGTGTATTCTCTTGTTGAGTTTCCTCATATGTCTCTTAGATCCAATTAGTTTATAAGGTTATTCAAGTCCTCTATCTCCTTAGTGATCTTCTGTCTGGCTGTTCTATTCATTTTTGAAAGTGAGGTGCTATGGTGTAAATGTGTGTGTCCCAAAAAATCCATTTGTTAAAATTATAATCTCCAAGTTGATGATATTAGTAAATGGGGCCTTGGGGGTGATTAGATCATATAAGTGAAATCTTTGTGAATGGGATTTGTGCTTATATTAAAGAGTCCCCAAAGATCTGTCTTGCCTGTTCTACTATGTGAGGACACAGTTAAAAGGTGTCATCTATGACAAAAGAAATGGGCCCTCTTCTGGGTCTTAGATGTCCCAGCCTCAGGAATTGTGAAAAATAATATTTGTTGTGGATGTGTCGCCCCATTTATGGTATTTTGTTATAAAAACCCAAACAGACTATGATAAAAATTGGTACCCAGAAGTTGAGGTGCCAGTGTTACAAATGCCCAAAATGGTGAAAACATCTTTCTAACTGGGTAATGAGTAGAGATTAGAACAATTTTGAACTGCATGCTAGAAAAAGTCTATATTTCTGAAAACAAACCTTTAGGGGTGATTCTGGTGAAGAATAAGGAAAAGACAAAATATGTGGACAAAGCATTAAACTTGTTAGAGTGTACTTAAATGGTCATGATCTGAATTTTACTGGAAATACTAGAAATATAAATGGCAAAAGCCATTGCAATGAAGTCTACTTGGAAATAATGAACATGCTAGTTGAAAACTAAGAGACTGGCAACTCTTCTCATAAAGTGGCAAAGCACTTGGCTAAATCATGTTCATGAGTGTTGTGAAACAAAGAATTTATAAGTGACAAAATAGGATATTTGGCTAAAAAATTTCTAAGCAAAGTGTTGAAAGCACAGTTTGACTTATCTTGTATAGGTACAGTAAAATTAAGACAAGGGGAATAATGTAACAATGAAATGTTTAATAAAAAATGAAGCAGGGAGTCGCTCCTGGGAGCCAAGATGGCGACGGCGACGGCGTCCTCAGCGAGTATTCGGGAAAGGCAGACAGTGGCTTTGAAGCGTATGTTGAATTTCAATGTGCCTCATGTTAAAAACAGCACAGGAGAACCAGTATGGAAGGCTTTTGCACTCTGATCGAGATCCTATTCCAGATGTTCCTGCAGTATACTTTGTAATGCCAACTGAAGAAAATATTGATAGAATGTGCCAGGATCTTCGAAATCAACTATATGAATCATATTATTTAAATTTTATTTCTGCTATTTCAAGAAGTAAACTGGAAGATATTGCAAATGCAGCATTAGCAGCTAGTGCAGTAACACAAGTAGCCAAGGTTTTTGACCAGTATCTCAACTTTATTACTTTGGAAGATGATATGTTTGTATTATGTAATCAAAATAAGGAGCTTGTTTCATATCGTGCCATTAACAGGCCAGATATCACAGATACAGAAATGGAAACTGTTATGGACACTATAGTTGACAGCCTCTTCTGCTTTTTTGTTACTCTGGGTGCTGTTCCTATAATCAGATGTTCAAGAGGAACAGCAGCAGAAATGGTAGCAGTGAAACTAGACAAGAAACTTCGAGAAAATCTAAGAGATGCAAGAAACAGTCTTTTTACAGGTGATACACTTGGAGCTGGCCAATTCAGCTTCCAAAGGCCCTTATTAGTCCTTGTTGACAGAAACATAGATTTGGCAACTCCTTTACATCATACTTGGACATATCAAGCATTGGTGCATGATGTACTGGATTTTCATTTAAACAGGGTTAATTTGGAAGAAACTTCAGGGGTGGAGAACTCTCCAGCTGGTGCTAGACCAAAGAGAAAAAACAAGAAGTCTTATGACTTAACTCCAGTTGATAAATTTTGGCAAAAACATAAAGGAAGTCCATTCCCAGAAGTTGCAGAATCAGTTCAGCAAGAACTAGAATCTTACAGAGCACAGGAAGATGAGGTCAAACGACTTAAAAGCATTATGGGACTAGAAGGGGAAGATGAAGGAGCCATAAGTATGCTTTCTGACAATACTGCTAAGCTAACATCAGCTGTTAGTTCTTTACCAGAACTCCTTGAGAAAAAAAGACTTATTGATCTCCATACAAATGTTGCCACTGCTGTTTTAGAACATATAAAGGCCAGAAAATTGGATGTATATTTTGAATATGAAGAAAAAATAATGAGCAAAACTACTCTGGATAAATCTCTTCTAGATATAATATCAGACCCTGATGCAGGAACTCCAGAAGATAAAATGAGGTTGTTTCTTATCTATTATATAAGCACACAGCAAGCACCCTCTGAGGCTGATTTGGAGCAATATAAAAAAGCTTTAACTGATGCAGGATGCAACCTTAATCCTTTACAGTATATCAAACAGTGGAAGGCTTTTACCAAGATGGCCTCAGCTCCTGCCAGCTATGGCAGCACTACCACTAAATCAATGGGTCTCTTATCACGAGTCATGAATACAGGATCACAGTTTGTGATGGAAGGAGTGAAGAACCTGGTGTTGAAACAGCAAAATCTACCTGTTACTCGTATTTTGGACAATCTTATGGAGATGAAGTCAAACCCTGAAACTGATGACTATAGATATTTTGATCCCAAAATGCTGCGGGGCAATGACAGCTCAGTTCCCAGAAACAAAAATCCATTCCAAGAGGCCATTGTTTTTGTGGTGCGAGGAGGCAACTACATTGAATATCAAAATCTTGTTGACTACATAAAGGGAAAACAAGGCAAACACATTTTATATGGCTGCAGTGAGCTTTTTAATGCTACACAGTTCATTAAACAGTTGTCACAACTTGGACAAAAGTAACACAGAAGAACCTTACTATGATAATCTACTTGGAATGTGGATAAATGTAAAAAGAAAATAAATGTTTCCCTCTCTATAACAATGTCCTAACAGTGAAATTGAGAGTTGTTTGCTAATTTTTAAGGAAATTCTATACTTAATATAATAGGTATTGATTAAAAAAATAAAACATTTCAGAAATAAAAAAAAAAAAATGAAGCAGGACTTAAAGATTGGAAAATTTTCATTTAGCCTATGCAGTAACAAATAAGAAAATGTGGTAAAAAAGTAATTTCAATGGTGTGGCCAAGTGACTGTTTAATAAGGAGAGCAGTATGGCTTGGCCAGGTGCTTGCTGTTCATCGAGATAATTATTTTAAAAAAGACCTTAAATATATTTTTGTATTATCCATCAAAGGCCCAGAGTGCCAGGTCCTGCAGGACAGAATAATTAAAAAGAAGGGCCTGTAGCCCTTGACAGAGTCTCAGTACTTGCTAACAGCCTTAATGCTCAGTGCATCACACTCCATTGCTGTGCTCCTCAGTCACCTCAAGTATAGCTCTTGCAGATCTCAGTATGACATGCACTGTGCCCAGCAAAGCTGTGGGAAAGTGCCTCAACCTGGATTTCAAATGATGCCCCAGAAAGCTGGAAAGCCCAGACAGAAATGCACTGTGAAGATGAAGCCTTTGTGTAAAATCCCTACTAGGGAAATTCCTGTGAGGGTAGGGCTACCTCCTTTATCTCAGACTGGTATGCATGAAATTTTAGCTTAGGTAAGCCACAGATGTACAACCCAGGCACACAGCAACCATAGAGATGGGACCACAGCAGTTAAATGCCATGGACATGGAGCATCCCAAAGTGTGGAGGAAGGGCCGCTGTTTCAGTGGATCTGGAAGGCAGACCTTCACCCAGTGGTCCTGGAAGGCAGAAACTGGAGTCTAAGAAAATTATTCTTGACCCTTAACATTTTGAAAGTTCTAAGCACTCTAATCCTGTATAGCTTTGTCTCTCCCACTTTATGTTGTTATCAAACACTCTATCTATAAAAATTTATCTATTAAAGTGGATTTGTAATTATTTTATACTTTCTAAAAATTCTATAGAAAAAATAATAACTGGAGTTTCAATCTAAAATTACAGTAATACTGACTTTTATATATGCCTATGTATTTGCTTTTACTGGAGATCTTTACACACAGCTGTTTTATTTGTAATTTTTCTCTACTTTTACTTTAGATTTTGGGATACATGTGTAGATTTGTTACATGAGTAAATTGCATGTACTGAATTTTGGTATACAAATAATCCCATTACCCAGGTAGTGAGCATAGTACCTGTATTTGTCCATTTTTTTATGCTGCTGATAAAGTTATACCCCAGACTGGGCAATTTACAAAAGAAAGAGGTTTAATTGGAGTCACAGTTCCATGTGGCTGGGGAGGCCTCACAGTCATGGCAGAAGGCAAGGAGGAGCAAATAACATCTTATGTGGATGGCAACAGGCAAAAAGAGAGCTTGTGCAGAGAAATTCCCATTCACTCTAGTTCACTATCAAGAGAACAGCTCAGGAAAAACCCACCTCCATAATTCAATCACCTCCCACCAGGTTCCTCACATGATATGTGGGAATTGTGGAAGTTACAATTTAAGATGAGATTTGGGTGGGGACACAGAGAAAGCATATCAGTACCCAATAGGTAGCCTTCCAAAGTATGCCTTTCATCTACTCTCTCCCACAAAGCAGTCCCTAAGTTCTGCTATTTTAATCTTTGTGTTCATGGGCAGTCAATGTTTTGCCCCAACTAATAAGTGATAGCATGCAATATTTTTGTTGTTCCTGAATCAGTTCATTTAGGATAATAGCCTTCAGTACCATTCATGTCCTGCACTTTTTTTGGTTGATTGACTATTCGTTACTGTCTCAATTTCAGAACTTGTTATTGGTCTGTTCAGAGAGTCAATTTTAGTCTAGTTCCATTTGGGAAGGTGTATGTGTCCAGGAATTGATTTCTTCTCGATTTCCTAGTTTATGTGCATAGAGGTGTTTGTAGTATTATCTGATGGTTGTCTTTATTTCTGTGGGATCAGTGGTAATATTCCCCTTACCATTTCTGATTATGTTTATTTGAAATTTGAATCTTTTCTCTTTTCTTCTTTCTTATGTCTATTTTATTATTATTTTTTTCAAAAAACAGTTCCTGGATTTGATCATTTAAAAATTTTTTTGTGTGTTTCATACTCCTTCAGTTCAGCTCTGATTTTGGTTATTTCTTGTCTTCTGATAGCTTTGGGGTTTGTTTTTTCTTGATTCTCTAGTTATTTTAGTTTTGATGTTAGGTTGTTAACTTGAGATAGTTCTGGCTTGTTGTTGTGGGCATTTAGTGCTATAAATTTCCTTCTTATCACTGTGTTAGTTGTGTGGCAGAGATTCTGGTACACTGTATCTTTGTTCTTTTTATTTTCAAATAACTTCTTGATTTCTGCCCTACTTTCTTTATTTACCCAAGAGTCATTCAGGAGCAGGTTGTTCAGTTTCCATGTAGTTGTATGGTTTCCAGTGAATTTCTTAATCTTAAATTCTAATTTGATTGTGCTGTGGCCTTACAGACTGTTTATTATGATTTCAGTTCTTTTGCATTTGCTGAGGCATGTTTTATTGTCAATTATGTTATCAATTTTAGAGTAAGTGCCACGTGGTAATGAGAAGAAAGTATGTTCTGTTGTTTTTGAGTGAAAGATATATTGATACTTACCTGGTTTATTTGATTTAGAGCTGAGTTTAGGTCCTGAATATTTTTGTTAATTTTGTTTCTTGATGATAGGTCTAATATGGTCAGTGGGGTGATAAAATCTCCCACTATTTTTGTGTGTGAGTCTAAGTCTCTTTAAAGGTCTCTAATAACTTGCCTTATATATCTAGATGCTCCTGTATTGGGTACATATATATTTTTAATAGTTAGGTTGTCTTGTTTAATTGACCCCTTTACCATTATGTGATACCTTTCTTTTTCTTTTTGATTTTTCTTGGTTTAAAATCTGTTTTGTCAGAAACTAGGTTTGCAAGCTGGGGTTGTTTTTTTTTTTTTTTTTCTGTTCTTCATTTGCTCCATAAATTTTCCTCCATCCATTTATTTTGAGCCTATGTGTGTCTTTGTATGCCTATGTGTGAGATGAGTCTTTTGAAGACAATATGTCATTCTATATCTTTTAATTGGGGCATTTGGCCTACTTTCATTTAAGGTTGGTTTTGGTTATGAGTGCATTTGATCTTGTCATCACGATGCTAGCTGGTTATTTTTCTGAATTGTTTATGTGGTTGTTTCATAGTCTCACTGGTCTGTGTATACTTCTTGTGTTTTTGTTGTGGCTGAGGACAGTTTTTTTCTTTTAATGTTTAGTTCTTCCTTCAGGAGCTCTTATAAGGCAGGTCTGGTGGTAATGAATTTCCTCAGTATATGCTTCTATGAAAAGCATCTTATTTCTCCTTCATTTATGAAGCTTAGTTTGGCCAGATATGAAATTCTGTGTTGAAAAATGCTTTTCTTTTAAGAAGGAAAGAAGTTTCTTTTAAGAAGGTTAAATATCATCCCTCAATCTTTTCTGGCTTGTAGGGTTTCCACTGAAAGGTCTGCTGTTAGTCTGATGAGCTTCCCTTTGTAGGTGACCTGGCTTTTCTCTCTGGCTCCCTTAAAATATTTTTCTTTAATTTTGAACCTGGAGAATCCGATGATTATGTGTCTTGGGGACGATCTTCTTGTGGAGTAAGAGAAGTGGGTTCTCTGCATTTTCTGAATTTGAATGTTGGCCTCTATAGCTAGGTTGGGGAATTTCTCCTGGGTCATAGACTGAAGTACATTTCTCAACTTGATTCTATTTTTCCTATCTCTTTCAGGTACCCCAATCAGTTGTAGATTTGGTCACTTTACATAATCATGTATATCTCATTTTTTTTCTGTATTTCTGTATGCCTTTTTTTATTTCAGAAAGAAAGTTTCAAGCTCTGAGATTCTTTTCTCCACTCAGTCTATTCTGCTACTAATACTTGTGATTGCATTGTGAAGTTCTTGTAGCTTTTTTTTTTTTTTTTTTCAGCTCTATTAAGTTGGTTATGTTCATCTCTTAACAGGCTATTTTGCCTGTCAGCTCAGCATGCTCCTTTAGCGCAGTGAAGTTTGTTTTTATTCCCATCCTGAAGCCTACTTATGTCATTTCAGCCATGTCAGCCTCAACCCAGTTCTGAACCCTTGTTGAAGAGGTGCTGTGGTCATTTGGAGAAAACAGGGGCATTCTGGCTTTTTGAGTTTTCAGTGGTTTTGAATTCTTTCTCATCTTTGTGGGCTTATTTACCTTTGATATTTGAGGTTGTTGGCCTTTGAATGAGTTTTCATGTTTTGTTTTTTGTTGTTTTTGTTTGTTTGTTTTCCTTTGAACAGTTCTGGGCCACTCTTCCGTAAGGCTATTGTGGTTTTCTGGGGGTTGCTTCAGTCCCTAGTTGCCTCCTTTTTTTTCCCGTAACCGCAGGTATTACCAGTGAAGGTTGCAAAACAGCGAAGATGGAAGCCGGCCTTTTCTCCTGGGGTGTACTGACCTGTTACTCACCCAAATGCACCTGTTGGAGGTAGCTGGAGACCCCACTTGGGAGGTGTCAACCTGTCAGTAGGAATAAAATCAGGGACCTGCTTAAAATCAGTCTGGCTGCTTTCTGTTAGAGCAGTTGTGCTATATTGGGGTCTCTTCAGCACCTGATTGGTTTGGGCTCTCCAAGATTCACAGGCTGGACCAGCTGAGAAGCCCAAATAGTGAAGCTGGTGGCCTGTCCCTCATCCCAGGCACTTCACCTCAGGGAGAAGTTAGAGCTCGTTCTGCTGTAAAAAACAAGCAAGGGTGGCTGGAAGTTCCAGCTGGGAGGACCTACCCTATGACTTTCTGAAACCTGCAGGATGGAGTGACTGAGTTGATAAAACAGCAAAGATGGTAGCTCTCTCCTTCCCCCCGGGGGCTCCCTCCCATCTCAGGCAGTCATCACCCTGTTGCCAGTGTCTAGCTGGAGTTTCAAGCCAATGGGCCTTATCTTGTGAGCTGTCATGAAATTGAGGTCCACAGTATGATGCTGCTTGGCTCCGTAAATTCAGCCCCTTTCCTTAGGGGTATGCAAAGACATCCCATCTTTCCTGAGTTGCAGACACATTTCTTT